AAAAAAGCATGAGTCGAATAAAAACATGAAACATGAAAAAAAAACTATGTAAACCAAAATTTTCGTCTGGATGAAGGACACCTGATGCTCAGCTAAAGATGGAGGTAAGTATTTAATATCATTAATTGCAAGTGTAATTGGAATCATTATTCAAAATTTACACAGCAAAATTATGACCGATAACGCTACTGGGAGAAACTGGATGAGTAAAACGTTGAGTCTACATAATTTCATCAGACGCAGCCAATTATGGTTCTACATACTTGTTAAGTGACGCGGGCTAATTATGACGCACAAGCAGTACCAATCAATTTGAAAAACGCAATTTACCGTCTAACATGCCTCAACTTATAGAGCGGACGTATTTTATCTAGTATACGAAAAATTTTATTAAAAACATCCGACCCTGCCAAGGTTCGAACCCTCTTATTTTGCCGCGGTTCTCCTTCCCTACTTCTACGCTACAGATCCATGATACCTTGAAGCTAAAATGCTATTTGTAATATAATAGTCTGTGTTAACATCCTTAGCATTGGCTGTACTTAATAGCTGGTTATTGTTCTTATGCACATACTGCAATAAAAGAACACTTCCGAAATGAACACTAATATTTGCGACTTAGGTTGGAAGAAAAGAGAGTCCATACTATCGCACAAGCTTTGCTTGAGTCAATATTTATGAATTTGTTATACTGATGCGGGACGAAACGCGTGATTTCAAAAAATTAGACTGCCCAAAACCTTAGTTGTTTCTCAACGTAAGAAGAGTGAAAGTTTTTTGAGATTTTTGATTTTTCCCAAAGACCTAGCCCTTCTTTTAAAAAAAATCATGGAGTAGCCGCTTCAGCACGAAAAAATTGTCGCAACTGCTTCTTTTCGATTTCGATCTCAGATTTGGTAGGGTAGATCTTTTCGATCTCAGATTTGGTAGGGTAGTTTTTAAGAAAATCTCAAAAAAATTTCTATAAACTGGTCAAAAATCAAAAAGCAGAAACTTTTTTCTGCTAAACACATGTCGTTGTCGGTAAAGCACGGAACATTCCCAAAATCGTGCTTCTTGATTGAACACTTAACCTGAAAATTGGCGAATAATTTTCAAGTCGAGTAAAAAGAACTTCTAAAACACGGACCAATTTTCAAAACTTTTACTTGTTTTAAGGCCAAAACTTCTTTCTAGAAGAAACTGGGCGTACCAAATTATAAAGTTAAGCTTTCAGCAACCTGTTGGCTCGATTAAAACTACAATATCAGTTCTGGTAGGACAGCTGAGAAAAGACCAAAAAATGGTGAACAAATCTGAGTTGACAATTCCGACAACTTTTCGTTTCAAAAAATTGGGCGTAGCAGTTTATTTAGAAGATATTCACCTAATCCGTTTGTTCGATCAAACCCAAAAACCTAGGTTTGGCAGGGTAGTACTCAAGAAAAGTCAAAAAGTTTCAAAAACGGTCAAAAACTTTTCCGAAGGCATAATCCGAGGGCCATAATTTTTATGTCAAAAGTCTATATTCCACTTTGATAACGCTTTCTCATCGCAAGCCTAAGCAAAGTAAATAAACTGAACTTAAAAAGAAATGAAAAGCCAAGCCACGAAAAATATATAGGAGCCTGAACAAACTTTTCCCTAAAAAACGACCGATAAAAGAGCCTGAACAACGTTCATCGACTCTTAAAACACGACTCCATGAAAAAGACCCCGACTTATTGTTTAGTTGGCTGCTCGAGCAACTTATTTGAACCCATTTATTGTTTCAACAAAACGAACTTATGATTTTTGTAAATAATTTTCTAATTTAGTTTCAAAACTTTCTCGTTTTACATTTTAAATGAGAAATTTCATGAGTTGCGTATTAATGGTGTACACAGGGGCGAAGTTGTACATAGCAAAGACAGGCTCAAATCAACTACGATTGGGCACAAGTAACCTAATGCTTTTTGACTTTTAAGTAGAAATTATTATTGATACATTTTTGATCAAATGAACTGAATTTGAGAAAACTGGATCAATAGGAAAAATTTTGATTCCGCCGGGATCCAACCTGAAATTCACCTTCTAAGCTAAAATTAGCTCACTTTTTTGTCATTTTTACGTTCGGATTTGCAGAGCGCAATTTGAAATGAACTTGTACTGACCTCAAAAAGTGTAAATATACTTGAGTGAATTCATATATGAATTCATGCATACATGAAAAAAAAAAATAGCCTGACCTATATAAGAGTGTTCACTACCTTCAGTGACTCTTAAAAATAGGCAGTTTATTTGTAAGGTAAACTATGTTGTCCTTGTATCCTATCAAAAGCGCCGCAATTGTAAAAAAACTCCCTGGCTCGATTCAAATCTGCTTCAAACTTTACCATCCTACTGAACTCAACTAAAACTGGGCAGATTATAGCAGCAAAAGCATGTTTGATAGATTTATATTTACAGACGATACAAGCGAAAGAAAGGGACTAAGTTTATAGACTAGGAGGAGTTAAGAACATCTGACGTAAATCAAGCCTAAGGCTTAATTCTGCCTGGCGGATTCAATCCAGAACAAAATTGGTTCAAAAGCAACCCTCACTTCAACGACAATTTATATTGACATGCAAGACCACAAGCAACATCGCTACATTTTGTCTTGTATTTTTGTATCGACCCGAGGCACCATAAGATTTTGATGGTACATAATAATTAGCCATTGACGAAGTCATTCAAAAGATTTATTTCGTGTTGGACAGCATGAATGCTGATTCTGATTGTCGTCAAGCTAGTACTCGGTCTGCACATTTCTTCTTACGGTTTTTTGGTTCTGTTTTTCATTGTATTTTGAATACGGCATTACCCAAAAGCTAGATTGAGAACTGCAGCTATTTAAAACTATTTAAATTTGGGGACAAAGTCTTAATGATCTCTAAATATTATCGAAAAACAAAACAGGCAAATCAACCGACAGAATTACAGCTGACAGCCACTTAGCTGAAAATCAACCAAAAATGTTCGGTTAAACCTTATCGGAAAAAAACACATGCACTGCTCAAATGGTAGCTACGAAAGTCATATGTGTACTGAGATCAAGGCATTGTACACAATTCAGAAAATAAACCGAGAGCTTAATCGAAAGCCGAAAAACCATAATATCGTAATATTGATGTTAAAAGCATAATATCGATGTTTTATCAGTATAGATACAAATAGCTTTATCTAAGTGAATGAAGATAATTTTGAAAAAAAAACACTCCCAGACAAGGATAAGCAAAAATAGCATCAGAAAATCACTTACCAAGCGGTAACAAAACAGAAAATACCTCAGCAGAAACACTTTATGCGAAATTTTTTTTTAGAATAAACCTTGATTAGTGAAAAAAACTCACTTCCCCTTAGAACACATACGCACATAAAAACTTTTTTCGGTCATCAAACGACGCAATAAGGGGCTACTAAGTCATGATAAAAAATCCGAGACCAGTAGAGCCGAAAAAAACGCAATAAAATTGAAACAAAACTAATTTTTAACAAATCGATTTGGTAAAATTACAAGAAAGATAAAATTTTCGAATCGGACAGGTTTTCAAAATGCTTAAACTTAAAAAGTTGTTTACAGCAAAAAAGAACAATTCTTAGATACAAATGTAGGCCGAAATTTTTTTGAACCGGGATATTTATCTTTTAAAACACAGGTCCTGGTCATATTCGAACCCAGAACCTTTGATGTCCCAGGCGTATTTGTTACCTCCAGGCTAAGTGTACAGGATACAGTAACATAATTGAATTCATAATGAAATCAAATACCAATAGGAGTTGATTAGTCTTGTCAACAAGTTATTCACGGTAAAAAGTCTAGCACCCGATTGCAATACCCTTGCTTAAGGGTAAGAAAATTACAAAAATCTTCATGTCTGAAGCTCTTCACGTGGGCGACTGCCCCAATGTGCGAAAATCATCAATCAATCAATGCCCTTTACACTGACTGGTGTTATCGCTTATTTACGCTTATGTATGCTGATCTCTGATTGGCCAAAAACATTTCGTGCATTCTGTCTTTTGAGCATGAATTTCCTAATATTTAAATGGTTCTTCAAGCGTGTAAAAACTTGGGCCAGAAATCTGTTGATCTAATGATTTCGATGGCCTTCCACACTGAGGGGGCGTTCAAAAAACCCGGAAAACAACAGTGCCCAAACTGAAACAAGGATAGCGCCGGTTGCTTTGCAAGTAGCAGAGAATGTTCTAACCAAATTCATTAAAAACCAAAAAGAAAAGTTTTTCTCTTTTTTTTTCAATTGAAGTCGTTTAAACGCGGTGTGACCAGAAAACTATACAAACATGTACAAAGTTTGTGAATTAGGGAGAATCATTCGTCCAAAAATGAATAACAAAAAAGACAGAACTTTTTGTTTGCCTAAGTAGCGCTAACTGAAGCTAAGTTTTTGCTCATGAAGCACTAAATAGTTTTAGTTTTAGTGAAATCAAGTTTTCTGAGCTTAAAATTTTAGACTACAAACGTTACTCGATCACTTTACTCGCTCGAAATTGGACTGAAAGACAAAAATTTACAGAGAGGCGAAGTTGCATTTGCATAAACAAGCAAAAATATGACCGATATCGCTACTGGGAAAAACTGAATGAGTTAAGCTTTGAGTCTAATAAATTTCTTAAATGACACACGCCAACTATGAGTCTACATAATCGCTAAGTGACGCAAGCCAGATATGACCCTTTAGCAGTAGCAGTCAATTTAAAAAAAAACAAAGAAATTTACCAACTAACATGCCTCAATTTATAGAGCGGACGCATTTTAACTAGCACAAGAAAAAGTTCATTAAGAACATTCGACCTTGCCCAGGTTCGAACCCTCTTATTTTTGGTGCGGCTCTTCTTTCCTACCTCTACGCTACAGATCCATGATACCAGGAAGCTAAGGTTAAAAACATCGTTCTTCCGGTACTGTTGTACTGCCTTGCTCACTTTGATTGGCTGATACTAATTATTCTTATCCACTTTTTGGTTTTGAATTAAAGTAACTAAGGGAATATTATTTTTCTGCATCTCATATCATTAACATAGGATAGTGAAGAGAATATTCAAATGACTTTTTATCAAAAGTGACAGAAGATGAGATAAAATACGCTTGCATCTTGAAGTCTTCGCTTAGCCTCTCCTCTTTTTTCATCGGTTTCCTCTCAATGAAGTTCTTTATACGAAACGCTGCTCGGTGTTTCAACCTTCGATTTCAGTTTTCAGTTGAGTTTTAACCTTTGTAGAATGAACAAAATGAAGCAACCGGTTCTAAACAACTTTGGTTTTGAGAAACTATTGGAATATTGGAAATAATTGGAAATGAAAAAGAAAATTCATATTCTTGAAATTGCCATTTTGTCAAGATTACATGCTTATTGAATCTCAAAGCTTTTGCCAGGCTCTCAATGTTTTTGATGAGGAGAAACTAACGCATGTATGCTTCGATTAACAAACATTAACTTAAGAATACTATCTATCATGGTATAAATCTATCATTAATCGAATGAACTTATTTTTATATACATGTAAAATCATACAAAAATAGGAAAGCGGTTATTTTAACTAATTTACATAATATTTTTAAGCATAGTGAGAACACCAAAACTATCGCTCCATTTTAAGTAATCATAGAACAGTTGTTTCGATTGGACTTAATTTTTCTACAACCAATAGTCGAACAATAAGTCAAACATAGAAGTTAGAAAAAGTCAAAAACTGAGTCAATTAGGTAATTACATCGAGCCACTAAAAATCAAGCAACCTTTTCAAGAAGGATCCGAACTAATTTTTAGATATGTTGAAAGAATCACTTTTTTAACCAACTTGACTTTTTATTTTGTCGAGCATAGATAACTTTTCTGCTTTCACAGATCAATGGTAACTCTACATGACATTCGAGTGAATCATGTATCCAAAACTCGTGGCTCCTCTCCATAGTTTGTATGCCACCAGCACTCCCACAACCAGTCCGACGGAGGCCATGACAAATGAGACAACAATCATAACAATGATCATGGCATGTCCCCTCTTCCTTCCCGCCATTCCACCCTCTTCGGTGACTGATTCGAAGGTAGCACTCGTCACTTCCATGTACGAGAACACTCTGCATAAAGTGCCGCAATGTTACATTACATGATTAATTTAAAAAAACTAATTCTGTTTGAAAACAGCCAGGAACCATCGTGCTAATTTTGGAATCAATCAATTGATCAAATGAAACGCGCGTATTACCTGAGTACAGCTTAACTTCAAAAAAAAAACGCGAGGAAAGACCTAATAGCGGGCCCGGGCAGAGCGATCAACATGTTTGCTTATTAACATGCGTCAATTTCTTTAATCAGGGTTCATTTACTAATTAAAACCAATTGATTTACTGGGGGAATTGAAGTTTTCGCTTTATACATTCGGCAAACTGCTCGCTGTTTGAGTGAATAAATTGGTCTTTTCTGTTATACAGCCCAAAAAGTATTCTTTTTGACAATCTTGAAAGTTCTATCATGATGCTAGAAACTGATTGGTTGAAATAAATATCAGCGAAAAGAATTCTCAGCGTAATAAATGAAAACAGAAGCTCACTTAACAGTTTGATAACTTGGACCGTATAACAGAAAATACCCCAAAAATCTCTTTGAATTAATCTTAAAACAGCGAACAAATCAACTGGATTATTTGACAAGAGGCATGGTAATAGACACGCATGCCAATAGGCCGATCTCCAGCACGCCCATGTGAAAGAAAGCAGTTGAATCGATCGCTAGTTAAAAAAATTTTCACACGAATTTGAAATCTGTGCAATTGCCAAATTTTGAAATAGAAACTTAGATGTAAGTTTCGGCTCATCGCATGCTAATAGATACACATGCTTACCTCTACGTCGTTATGTACATTAACTTTATCAATTGAAATGCAAGTTACTTCATTTTTGCAGCATTTAATTTCTACGTGCCAAAATCTGCCATCTATTGTATTATATCACTCATTACCTGTAATTGTCTTCAAAGTAGTGCACGTCCGATATTTCGCCTGTGTCGTCATCTTCGTGTTCGATGGTGTACGAAACTTTGACGTGTCCTTTCAGGTTCTTCATTCGTTCAGCTACTTTTGCGTTCGACAGCATCTCCTGCCGCTCGTTCACTGAAATGTTTGAACTTATTGAAACAACTTATATCAAGTCAAAGCTTTTCAAGTTTTGTCAAACATTTAGGGTGTCCTTTTAAAAAACACTAACAAGTGTCTCAAATGACTCCTCAACTTGCAAAAAGTTGTTTTCCTGATAAACTTTTTTTTAAAATTCAATTTATTTCTTGAATCAAATCGGACGGCGCATAGTTAAAAACTTTCTAAGCCAGCTACTCCAGATAAGAAACTGAGATATTCTCAGTTATTTCATGTAGCGAATCAGATGACAAAAAGTTTCATTATTTCTATTGAAACCAATTAAGCGATGAAACGTCTATGTATTTCAAGTTATTTCATAGACCGAATCAAATTGCAATGAATACAATACTTTCTGAGCAGACTAATCCTGGTATGAAACTTTGAACTATTCAAGTTATTTTATAAACCGAATCGGTTCGTGAAAAATGCATGTTTTTCTTTATAAAAACTTCTTTCTAAGCTAGCTATTCAAACGAGAAAAAAATTGAAATAATTCAAGTTGTTTCATGAAGTGAACCAGTTCGCAAAAACTTTCAATTTTTCTTAAGCAAGCTATTGAAGCTATGTAAAACTTCAAGTTACTTTATAGATGGAATCGTTGCGCGAAAAGATTAAGTTTTTCTAGGAAAGCTGATAGTTACGAATCTTTGAAAGTAAATTAATAAACAAATTAATAAACAAGTTTTTTTTTTCTATTGAAGCAATCAAGCAATGAAATTTTATTTAAACTAAGTTATTTTTAAAGATTTCATGAAGCGAACCGGATGGGGCAAAGTTTAATTTTTTCTATTGAAGCCAGTTGAGCGATGAATATTCAAATCATTCTTGTCATTTTTAAAGACCGAATCGTTACTTTTTTGTACTAATTGTTTTGCGAATTACTTTAAGTTTTCTAGGCAAGCTATTCAAGCTATGAAATTTGAAATATTTCAAACTATTTAGACCAAATCGTCTTGCGAAAAGCTTAAATTTTTTGTAAGCAAGATATTCAAGCATATAAACTTCGAAAAAATTCAAGCTGAATTTCGGAAAAAAGGGCAGGTACTGTCTAGCCTTGAAATTGAATTGAGTTCATCTCGTCTAAAGAAATGAATTTTTGTCAAAAATAATTCTAGAATATTCCAGACATAAGAAAATTTGAGAGCTCTAGAAAATACTTGTCTTTCTCATAAACATTTCAAGAATTTTTTTAACGTGCATTCGACAAACCTAAAACATTGCGTCCATAGCACATTCCGTTTTCATTTAAAACAAAGATTGTTCATAATTTGCTTTGTTTTTCATGTTTTTGAGCTACCTTTAAAATGACAGATAGGAATCAAATAAAACAAATATCACTAAGCTCTCAAAAAAGATTTCAGTTTCACTCTCTGGTATCTTCGTATGAGTCCAGAAAAAAATTTCACTGAACAGTCGACTCTGAATTTCTCGCTTACGCTTCAAACTTGAAAGATGTCAGAATCCAATTCAAAGGTTGAAAATGTACAGCTTTTGACAAACTCATCGAACAATGTCCTAAATTTCTGAAAAATTTTCACCTTGAGACAGTGATATAGAGTTGAAATTACAACCGAAGTTTCAAAACTGCATTTGAAATGTCAAACTGAGCAAACCAAAAAGATCGCGCTATTTCAGTGGTCATTTTTTGTTCCGACCATTGAAGGTAGGGAAGAACTTTTTATTCGGGTGGTTATAGTTTTTTTCACGCAAAATCAGCTACCATAAACAATCATCTAAAAGTGTTAAAACCATATCAAGAGTTGAATATCCATCTGAAATTTAATATAAAATCCCTATCAGTCGTGATTCAAACATTAAAAAATTTGCAAAACTTTCCCTGTGTCGAGAAAAACCGTTTTGAAATTTTGATTTTTCGTCGAATTTCGAGCGAGTAGAGCGAGCAAAGCAGGCTTACCATAGCTTATTTATGCTTAATTTAGGCAGTAAAAGCTTGATTTCACTCGAGTTAAATTTTTTTGGAGTGTTTTTGGCGCCATTTTGGGAATCAGAAGGTTAAAACAAAAAAATTCTGCAAGCTTCGAAATTTTTTTAAACCATTTTAATGATGTTTTTGTTGTCCGATTTTCCTAATTTATTACGACTTTCGAATTATCTTTCCTAGTTTTTCGTCCAGATCTTTCTATCGCACCACGCAGAAAAAAAAACACTAATTTGAAAAAAAATTGTGGTATTTTTAAAGACATGGTTGGAACATTCTGTGCTATTTGCACAGTAACCGGTTACGCTTGTTTGAAAAAAATCAAGCTCTCAATTCTCATTCTGCAGCGATCTGACATGCAATTTTTAATACAAAAAAAACGCAGAAAACGTGGACAAAAAAGGCAAACGCGAAACTTCAAAGAATTATTTCAAAAAAGTTTCAGCAGTCAGAAATATTTCAAAAATTTAACACATTGTCTGATAAATTTGTTAAAAGCTACAGTGTTGATTTGAATGATCCAAATAAAACGCATTAAACTTGAAATTAAGAATGCGTTTTCTCAAATTGGGTTGACTTTCGCTGAAAAATGAAGACTTTGTCCGGATAATTCAAACCAGATCTGTAGAAGCATAGCATATAGCGTTTACTAAAAGGTTCATCTCTTTTCTTTCATAATATAGCTCCCTTATATAATTCAGATCAAATCTTTTGAATCAATTTTGCTCTTTTCAAATTTCGTGCAAACTTTGCCTTAAACTGAAACAAAAAAACTCGAATTTCATTGCATACGAAAAACCATCAATGGCGGTATATTGCAATATTAATCATGAGATAGACGAATATGATATTGAATTCTTTGGCTCAGATTACGTAGAAGAAGACTAGTAGACCGAAATACGTATCGTATAATAGTTTTTCAGAAGAGGCACCCTTCTGGGTGGTGAACGGGTCGGTCTTCTGTGTGACAGGGTTGAATTCCTGGGTTGGGTTTGACTAATTCCTTCTGAATTCTGGGGTTGTCAAAAGGACAATTGGTCCAAAATACGAAGCATATTTCTCTATTTGTACAACAATACCCATATTTTAAATGAGAAAGGCAGCTTAAAAAGACACAATATAGATAAAAGATAGGTATCGGAGATGTTTCTCTGATGTCTACATCTTTCGAAAACGAAACTGATCTTTTTATTTATATAGCAATTCGGGATCGACAGAATTATTTTCGATCTTTTTCGCTCCATCTAGTCAGAGTTTCAAATTTTTTTTCTTCACTTTCGAAGAAAAAATTCGAAACAGTGACTTGATGGAGCGAAAACGATCGAAAATAATTCTGTCGATTTTTTATACAATACGTATTTCGGTCTACTAATCTTAGTTTTTATTAAGGCGCTATTAAATATTAATATTGATTGTTGAGCGAACACCGGAAAAACGTGTTTTTTTGCCAAATTCATCCAAATAATGCCCAAAAATGAAAAGTTAAATGTGTTTTGTCCGGATAATTTAAATCAGCACTGCATAAAAGAATCAATTGATTCATATACGAGCGCGTTATATGAAAGCCTCAATAACCGAAATAAAAACGGATCTCGAAAAGAAAGAAAACAAATTATGAATCTAAGTAGAGATACATATTTTGAAAGATTGCGTAATTAATCAAAATTTACCGATGTTACATGGCAATCTTAAACGTACTGCCTTCTTATTCAAAAATTTTGTTAGACTTGAAGTTACCGAAAATGACTTGAAAGCCTGGTATGTGAACAGGAATCAAATAATTGCTGTATAGCGAAAATTATTATTTCGAGATTCAAATCTTTTTGATTAATCTAGGCGACTGCGAATGTATACACTATAACTTTTAAAAATGTTTTTTCGCATATTCTACTTGTTGATGATAACCGCAGGCCCTGCAAACATGAATTGGCAGATCCTCACAAATAGGTCGCGAGGTAATCTCTCATTTTAGCATTACAGTTTCCCTCAACAGATCCGAACAGCGAACAATTGAGCCCGAATTATCGCAGTAAACTTCAGACCCTATAATTATCGCTTTATAATTACATTCAATTATTGCAGAACAAATTTCAAAAAGAAAAGCACGTTAACCACGTTGATACCTCTGATATCTTTAATTATGTAAAGTGATCATTACAAAATTGCGTTCTAACAGACAATAAAAATTTTCCGTTCTTTTGTCATACTTACAGTTCAAACTTATGGGTTAAACGAAGGGACAGCGGTAAAAGAAAATTTGCTTATGAGGATAGAAAATTTGCGGAGTTTATGTTAACCGCTCTCGCCACCTGATTTTTCACTAATTCTTGTCATAATGATATTTCACGAGATTTCTACAAATATTTCGCTAGGTTGTCAAACTAACATTACAGTTTCCCTCATTAAATCAAAGAACATTTACGGAACAACTTCAATACCCAGGGGCGGATTTAGGGGGGGGGGGGGGGGGCGAAAGCTCCCCCTCCCCCTCAGGGATTCGAACCCCTGCCGACCAAAAGGGTCCTTCCTTTGTCCTACTTCGAGATATCTATATTTGGTGACGGACCTTAAATTTTTTCGAAAAACGCTTTCGGTGCAAAAACATACTATTTTTGAGGAAAGGGGGCCTCCCATACTAAAATTTAAAGATCTAAACAGAACAATAGAGCCTGAATTATCGTATCGCAGTAAACTTAAGATCCTATAATTATCGCTTTATATTTACATTCAATCATTGTAAAACAAATTTCAAGACGAAAAGCACGTTAACCACGTTGATACCTCTGATATCTTCAAAAGTGATCATTACAAAGTTGCGTTCTGACAGACAAAAAAACTTCCATTCTTTTGTCATACTTACAAGTTAAATTACAGGCTAAATGAAATGACAGATGTAAAAGAAAATTTACTTAAGAAGAAAGAAAAATTTCGGAGCAAACGTTATTTGCTCTAGCCACCTGACTTATCACTAATTAATGTCCTAATGTTATATACAACTTGATGAAACGTGGCCTAACGAAAAAGATCGGTCGATTTAAAAAAAAACTTTAATTTGCATATCTTTCGGAGCTATTTCTATCATAACGATCATCGATTTAAACAACTGACATACACGATGTTCTCCATTTTGGAAATCAGAAAGATGGCTCAATTGGCTTTCTGCAACTCCAACATGTAAGTTTAACTAGAACTCTGTAACTGCAACTAAAAGCTGATAATTGCAACTAGATCTCTAATTATATTCTGACCGATATAAAATGCACATAATTATACACCATTTTTAGCTGTATGCATCATTATTATATACCAAAGATTTCCTTTTAGCTATAGATCACAATTCTCAAATCACTTTCTAAGAACAAGTTAGTTTCGAAATTAAGCGGAAAAAGAACGTCGACTATGGCGAAGAACGATCAAGACCCTTTTCCCAAGTTGGATATATTATTAAAAAATTTCTCTATAATTTGTGTTTAAAATAATGCCCGAGAAATTTAAGGTTTGTTTTTTTTTGCTCCGACTTTCAAAGAAAGTGAGGAAAACACATGCCTGTGGAGTGTGGTTTTTTTTAAAAATTCAGACTGATTGTAGAAAAGTCGACAGCGTATGAGAGGGGTGGATTTAGGTGAGAGAGAGGGGGGGGGGGTTGTTGGGAGCCTCCCTAGGTATTCCACGCCTTAAAATTTCTCTAAGGGCGCTGAAAAAACGCGATCTTTAGACATTGCGTTGTATGCCGACAGTTCAAAAAAATGGCAAATTTAGATGGTTCGAAAAATAAGATAGGTTATACTTTAAAATGATTGGCATTTCAAAAAAAATTAGATTAGATCGATCAAAGTTTTGGTCAAAACCAATTTTATTTCCATATTTCATTTTCATATTTCATTCAAATTCAGCCAATTAATCTATTATTAGCAAGATTATTTTCGAGATCAAGTTCAATTTTGGAGAAATCTAATCACTTTTGGTTAATTATTTGAATCAAGCCGATCGGATTAGTTTTCAAGTTCATGTCAAAGTGTAGAAAATCGGCAAGATCATTTCTGTTCAAATCTAAACCGCATTTAGCAGCTTGCATGTTATTTCGTTTTGCTTCGCAAAAACTTTCGCAATTAAAGCTTTGATGTTTATAGTAAGTTTTCTATTTTATTTCGCTAAAGTTTCTTTATGATCGTAGTTTATTTATGCTATGGTTCTGAATTGGTTAAATTGTAGTGTGGTTATCTAGTTCTGGGGTTATATGAGAAGGGGTTAAAAAAAGGGGTTTAAAAACGCGGGGTGATAAGCTTGGGAACCGCTTGGCCGGTCAATTCTCTTGTTTCGATGTTCGATCTTCAGTATTCGTTTCACAAATCCTTTATAAGTTGACAACGCTCTAGCAGTAAATGATACGCGCCTCAAACAATAATCGTTTTTAATTTTATTCTAATTTTTCTAAAAAAACACCATGCCGAAACTAACACGAAACTGAACTGCAACGTTGAGTTGCATCATACAGCATAAATAAACTACGATCATAAAGAAACTTTAGCGAAATAAAATAGAAAACTTACTATAAATAAAATAAGTGCTACTAAGGACGCCCCTCCTTCTCAGGGATTCGACTCCTTCGCCAAACAAAGGGTCCCCCTTTGATGTTTTTTATGACATCTATTTTAGGCCGACCAACCCTAAAAAGTTTCCAAAAGGCGCCTTCGACGCCAATAAATACTGAAATTGAACGGAAGCGCACGCCAAAAAACGCATTTTCCATTGGTCAACATTTTCCAAAAAGTGCCCAAAAACGGGTCAAAATAGTGTCGACAATCAATTTAGTCAAACTAAAAAAAAGATCGACGAAACTTTCGAATTTTTTTTTGGAAAATCCGCCCCGTCGAGAAAATCCTAGATCGGCCCTTGGTATGAGAATCAATTCCGAAATCATTGGATTGTCCAGCATGTATGCTTGCACTAGAAATAGCATCCTTGATAGCTCCATGACACGAATTATTTATTTACTGGCAAATTATTCGATTTCATTATCGTTCCATATTGAATTAGGGCCAAATATAATTGGTCATAATAATTCTTCTCAAATTTAAGCTCTTGCATTTGATATTGGCAGTACAAAATTTAGTTTATCAAAAAAAATTGCAGCAGAAATATTCGAGACTAGTTAAGGCGCAGTCTTGTTCGTTTTTGTTGGGATTCGTCGTTAAACGACCCCAAAACTTATTGCAAACTATATTCCTAAGTTAACAAACGGTTCCATAACATATAGCTGCGAGCCAAAACAAGGGTTTAGAAGTTACCTGCTCTAACACCCCCAAAAGAATAAAAGCTAAGAATCATCGAAAACAACCTACCTTTTGATGGATAATAAATTGATTTAAAAAACCTTATTTTTATGACTGAACTTAGGTTCAAGTAATTTAAAAAAATTACATAACTATGTTGGTGATGAGAAAAATATCCTTCTATTTCACTTAAGTAAATTTCAAGTTGAGTGTAGTCTACTATTCTAGGTAACCTCCAGCAATGCTACTGGAAGGATTGAACTACCAGTTTGGTATCGCAGATATGGAACTATGGGTTTGGGAGACGGTGATCTTAAAATTTGTCTGCATCAAATTTAAATTCAATTCAACAAACCCGTCACACAAATGAATGACAATGAACATCATGACCAACGCAAGTTGTTCATTAAATTCAGGAACACTTAGAAAGTCCAGACCTGATTTGTAGGAGCTGAGCCCGGCGAAATCGATGAGGGAGAAGGCCACGACGACAAAGCGCATACTGTCGTCAATGGTGAGATGGCTGATCCTGGAAGGATAAACTTCCAGAGCCTCGGCCAGTTTCTGAGTCACTGCGTGGTTGTAGGTCGCCTGGAACCCGTTCTTGCCCTAAAACCATAGCCAAAGGAATTTAGAATTTCAAAAAAAAATATGGACTTAGAGCTCTTTGAACTTCATGATGATTTATAAATTATAAAATTTGCATAATTTGACACAACTGGATTAACGTTAAATTTTTATTCCGCTGGGAAATCTGAAAACTTTTACACGAAACTAAAGTCGATCACGTTTTTTGTGACATTTCCATTTTCGCTGTTCGATAGTGAGTTTGCCTTCCTTCTAACAAAGGAAATGCACGGAACTTAAAAGAAACCGCGAAACGCGAAAAATCGAATTTGAGCGTGAACAAATCTTAAGACTTTTCCTGAAAAAAATCACAAGGACCATAATACGTTCATCGACTCATTGAAAAAAAAAGATTACGTCTCAAATCGCTTAAAAATGAAAAAATTCCCAAATGATAGAAATGGCTTGGATATACTTAACAATTGCCCTCCCTTTGGTGCCTACTTAAGAATTGCCACCCCTATTTAAAAAAAGCAATAAATTAGCGCTAGAGCTTTGTATTGAGACTTCTAATTTTGCTGCAATCTGATTGGTCGAAAATGCGTTATATTAATCTACTTAACAATTGCCCCCTTTCTTAAAAGGGGGATAATTGTTAAGTAGATCCAATGGCTTTTTCGTGAACCATGTGGGACATGGATGTCAAACTGTCAATTCAAATGTTGATTGTCATTTTATCATGAAAAAATTGCAGAATTTATTATCAAAAGCGAAAAGAATAAGCTTGCTGTTACTGATAAGCTTCGTGTGGTCAATTTTTCTGACAAAATTGTCGCTTAACATTTGTTTGGAAGCGATTAATTCTAAATCTTGTTCACATGTTTTCGTTCGACAGACCTAGAATCTGATAGAAAACGTTTAAACTACCATGAACACTTGAAATTTATGCCATTTGGGAAAAGTTAAATGTTTATGCCATTTGGGAATTATGCCATTTGAGAAGTTACCAAAAAAACATATAAACCTATATGAATTCATAAATAAATTAATAAGTATGGATGCACATCTGTAGATATTAGAGCATTTGGGCAAAACCACGGTCAAATGGGAAGAAAAAGATCATGCATGTGTACATAATCAAACGTAAGAAATCGCTATTCGATTCCTTTTATTCCTTGACATTTTCACGTTCAATAATCAGATTCAAGGAAAATGAACCGTTCTTCTGCGAACTATAGTAATTGGTTACGTTTTTGGTTTGATTCAAACAGAAATGGATTTTCATCCCAAATTTACTTCGCAATAAATCGTGAATTAGAATAGTTTTGCAAGACAAATCATAACATTTAGGCAAAGCGCACCAGAGAAAATTTTTTTTTGAAACAACGCTCACCTTTATGGTTATGTTTCGACTTACTAGAGAGCGCTTTAAAGCTCATTAATCGAACTAAAACAACCCCTATAAAAACCTGCATGGGATTCATAAACTGGGCCAAATTGCATCATCAAAAGTATTGTTATTTTAACATCTCTCTAACCATAGGTGCTTACGATGTACAACTTTCAATTGCGTTAACCTTTATTTCACACGCAAAAACTGTCATTTCAGACATATATACTTTACGAAGTTGATGAGACGGTAAAAAAACAAAATTCTCACCATCTCCAAGTCTGAAACGTGTTTGCTGCAAATCGGAGAGTCAACCTCTTTGCCCTCCTTGTTTCGCTTTTTTGTGATCGATATGCAAATTTTGTGATGATATGAAGTCCCATCTGGCCCGTCTGCCATGTCGTCGGTTCCATTCGATTGTTTGTTGGCCAGTAGCACGTAGTAGTTGATATGATCTGATTTGAAACAGTGAGATATGTCGAAGGCGTCCAGCATGGCTTGTTTGTTAGACACGTCTAAAAAGTTTGTCCTGGAGTCTATATCCCGGCTGTTGGTGTCCACTTGGCCCTCCTCGTGTTTGTAGCCATACTCCGACATCCACATTGGAGTCATAAATCTTAACAAAAATTCTCATCATCTCTGTTCAGAAGATATGCAATGCAAGCTTAACTAGTGAAAATTCATTGGTGACCCTGAAGTCAATTTTATGCAGTACATTTGTAATAGATAAGCAACAGCTAAATATTGCATCAATAAAGTTTGTGAATAACTCGAGATACGCAGTGTCGAGATGCAATGTAGGCTGTTGCTTATCTGGCATAAAAACACGTTTAAAAAAATCGAACAATACACATTTGAACATTTTTTCTAGCTGACGCGCAATTTTTTGTTTTCTAATTTGCTTTGGTTCCAGGAAATATATTGCACTAGTGTTTCAATTTGATTATTTGAAAAACGGGTGCAATATTTGAAACCAGGGATGTAAAAAAATATATTGTATTTAAATATATTGACAATAAATACATTTAAATAATTTATTTTCCAGTTCTTGTTTGAATTGCAAAGCAGGTTTCCAACATAACTCGGCCAATAATTGAAGCTTGGCTTGGCTTGGCTAATTGACAATTCAATTGTCAGAATGCAAGCGACGCACGATTAATCCATTCGAGTTAAGCTAGCTCAACTCGAATGGATTAATCGTGCGTCGCTTGCATTCTGATTGGCCACGATCGTTTTGAATAGACTGTAATAGACTATTATTACACGCGAATGAACTTGATGAACTCATTTCTGATTGGCCACGATCGTTTTGAATAGACTGTAATAGACTATTATTACACGCGAATGAACTTGATGAACTAATTTCTGATTGGCCACGATCGTTTTGAATAGACTGTAATAGACTATTATTACACGCGAATGAATTTGAACTCATTTCTGATAGGCCACGATTGTTTTGGCCAAACTAGAGTCTACTACACGCATATAAAGTTGTTTTACACTTGTGAAAACCTCAACATTTTGAAGTTATAGTCATACTTAAATTCTGTTCTATCGATAAAAAAAACTGAAATTTGGTGAAGTTATCTTTTGAAAAGCACTGATCACGAATTTCATACTCAATATAGCACTTATATTTTATCAATGAAACAGAATTGACTGAGACTATAACTTCAAGAACATCTCGTTTCGGCTTTTTTGCACTTCGTTTTCTCGATAATTATGGCACCTCACAAGAAACGCGACGTGGCTTTGCATTATTTCAAACCTCTTACTGGACCTGATTCGTTATGGGAATGCAAGAAATGTGGGTTCAAACGGAAGCAGACCAAGAACAACGGCTATGAAAATCTCTTCAGCCACGTTCTGCAAAAACATAAGAATTATCAAGAAGAAATGAATAGATCAAACCCTGCTGTAGAATTTGAGGTATCCGAAAAAGCAAAAAACATCTACGGATGGCTGGATTGAGTGATTATGAAGAATTTTTTCTGAATTTTTTCTCCCCGTCAGGAAACATTTCAAGGCTGTTCAAAAATTAATGGGGGGGGGGGGAATTAACGGCCATTAATGGATGGCCATTAATGGATTTTTTAATGTTCAAAATGGCATTAATGGATTTTTTAATGCTCAAAATGGCATTAATGGATTTTTAATTCAAAAAATTAAAGGCCATTTCCGTTATTTCAGAGAAAGATGTTTTGTTCGGTGGAAATTTTTTCGAACTGTTGCAATCAATTAATTGTAATTGGAAAACACTTTCAGCAATATTTAAGACGATCTTGAAAAAATATGGAGTCAGCCCCATGAGAAAAAGGAGTAAGTGCCTTCCGCATTTTAATTGCTGCTTATTATGTATGCAAGCAATTGGAAAATTTTAACGGCAAGTAGATAGACTGCTTCGAGGGCTATTGCGTTAAATACAAATTGGGCAAGCCATGAAACATTTAAATATATTTTTATATTTATTTTTCTCCTCAAAAATATGAATATATTTATTTTTTTTGAAAAAATATATTTAAATATATTTTTTACATCCCTGTTTGAAACACTAATGCAATATTTAAATATTGCACAAGTGTTTCAAATATTGCACTAGTTTTTCAAAGATGGCACGGAAAAAATACTGAACACGTGTTTTATCGATTAGACAAAGAACCGTTTTGAAAAACTAGCTTTGTTCATTGAGTTTAGGTTGAGAACCGATTGAGCAAAAAATGACAGATTTCTCATGTAGATCTTAGATTGAAACGGTGTCCTATAATTTGAAACCATTCAACTTATCACAGCTCATTTATATAACTAGTCATTGGACTTTAAATTTTAAAGCCAAAATAATATAAGTTAAAACCAAAACATATAACTTCCTATTTTATAACCTAACAGATCGCATCAGTCGTGCAAACGCGTTGCGAGCTAGCAAACAGAGGGTAGGACTCTATAAGAAATGTCGGTTATTTTCGGTTACTCTATAGAGTAGGTTATTGCTCGCTGCCAAACCGGCCCACTGATGCGATTAAGTCGAGGGTCGCTTGCATATACATATTTACATAGCTGAGGTATTAAATGGTATGGAGTGAAACTTTACGAGAGTTAGTTGTTTGTGTTAAGAAGCTGCGACCGATTATAACACTATCACTTGAATTTATCATGTCATTGTCAATTAAGAGTATGCTATAAAATCGGTGGAAAAAGTTAGAGTAAGGATGCATAAATAGATTGAGTGTCCCATGCCCCATCTATTCCAAAACCAGAACACTGTCGGTTTAAAATTTGCGCAACCATTTCGATAACATAAAGTTTCTCCCATACAAAGTCGAAAACAAATGAAAAATGTGGAAAAACCACGTCTTTCTAAATTCTCGTAAGTCTCTGGAGAAATTCACAAAAGACTAAATGCCACAAAACATATAATTAAATTAGCAACAGAAAGAAACTTATGAAGAGGAAACAAAACCAACGATCTTTGAGAAGCCACAAGTGGAGCCGAAACAAAAATAATTTAATTTAAAAATTTACATTTTTCAAGTTCCCCATCAAACTATTTCGAACAGCCCTCGCACTTTTAACTACAATGAAAAATGCTTGAAGAACAAATTAGATCTGTGATCAGGCAACTAAGCAGAAACGAGTTGAGCCGAAAAAAATGAATAAATAAACTAAAATTTCAAGACCCCGCTGAAACTACATTGAACAACACTTGCTTTTGCAAAAACGAAAAGTTGCTTGCAGCACAAGCAAAATCCGTGATGTGGCAATGAAGCCGACAATCTTAGAGCAGGCACCACTTGAGCAAAACAAAACATTTGTTTTCATTTTTAAAAACTGAAATTTTTCAAGTCCCCCTGAAAATACATTGAGCAACAATAGCATTTGCAGCTACAATGAAAATTGACACCGCAAAAGCATAATATATGGCAAGGCAACTAAGCCGTCAAAATTTATGAAGACCAACGAAAATCAGAAAATTCAATTTTCACCGGAAACAAATTCCAATTGTCTCAAAGATATTATCGGGCTTGATTTTTTTAACTTTCGAAAGCGTGTTGTTAGTTTGGCGGCGTCCCATGGTGCTTTCGAAAACAGGATTGCAAAATGTTTTGATCAAGAACTTATCCACCTGGTATCAATGGTAGCTAAGTCAAAATTTCTACCAAAAGTACAATCACCATACAATGATCTTTGCTTATTGTCAAAGTTCAGAATAGTACACAATCACTCTCCTGAATTCCTTGCCACTCGTTTGTTCTATTTGACGATGAATTCAGTGTTAAAGCAGATTTGAGTAGTCCTTGCAAGCAATTTATGGCACCTGGAAATATCATCTTGTTGTTGGCACTATCAACTTCCGTAGAAAATATCGGACTCATCAATTGCATGTTCTCCTGGTGCTATCTTTCATGGAAGAGAATCTATCAACCCCATGATCTATAATTTTCCACCAAAACCTTAGATGCAGCAACGACAGAAGAGTTTTTCAACAGCTTTATAGGACACAATGTTGGAAAATTTTGAGACGAAACAAAAACAATTACTACGAACCTTCGACACCGAAAAAATTATGACCATAGCACAGCCTTGGATATTTCATTCTTTGTCTTCTTTTGAATTGCGTAAAAAGCAGTCTTCTATAAAACAAACAAGTCACTTCATGTCTGGATTCCTTTGAAGGGAGTGAAAAGGTTCAAACGAACAGCATTTATATAATTAGAAAAATCGGAACGAAATATGCACATTGTGTTCATCGAAATCAATTTCGTCCAATTCAAGCACAATATCAACCATAAAATGTTGAACCGATTAATTGGACAAAATCCGTGATCAACCGAAGTGAGCCAGGATTGCTAGACGAATATTTGCCAAAGCTGCTCCAAGTTCCGCTATCAATTTCGAGCACTGGCAGTAATTACACTCCAGCACTGGCAGTAATTACACCAGTAGAAGCTGCTCTTGCGCCATTTAGCGCAACATTACGAACACCACCGCTACCTTTTAAGTACCACCACCTGACCCTCCTCCGGACCCAGTTCCATAGCCATAAGCTCCACCTCAACCGGGATTGAAAGAAGACCTGACTCGCCATAAGCCAACGAATAGCCCAGTTGAAGGAGCACAGAAAACGATGATGCCAAATGATACCAACTGTTCCACATGAGATCAAATGTTCTAGAAAGAACCACTGCAAAAAAAGCAACAGCTGCAGCCACAAATCGATTAAAAATAGATGGACACAAAATTATCCCAAAAACGTTTACTTTAAGGCCGACACCGGAAGAAAAAGCGAAAACATGGAAAAATTAGACGATGCCAGCAACACACACCTATCGAGCAATGAAATAAAAGACATTATTCGATCGGGTGAACGAGGCGCAAAGCAGACAATAAGAAGTGATACCATCAGCGAAAGCGCCGGCCCAAGTGTTTCAAAAATCAACGCAATTTCGAAGGAATCAAACATTCTTTCATCGGGTAATGTTTTATATTTGGCAGGTTCCATCGCACCTTGTCTCTCTAAGGACTTTTAAGTGAACATTAGCGCGGCAGATCAAGGACAAAAAAGCTTCAGGCTTTAGAAACACCACATGAGCATCAGTGTCAATGCGTATGCCACAATTAACCAATCTTCAATCTGATCGAGAAAAAACAATTTTTCAGAAAACTAACTTTACAAGAGGAAGCAGCTCATCAAGCAAAGTATATCACGCATAGCGCCACCGAAAACAAGATGAAGACTTCATAAATTGAGATAACACTACGTTGTTAATAATATTTAAGATATCTGTCAGAAAAAAAAACATCCTAATCTCCATATATATGTTGCTGTGCACTCGTTGCATTATTTTTTATTTATTTTTTTTTTATTTATAAGGAGTGGACAGCAACAGTATTTACAGCTCCCTCCCGCATCACCTGCTACAACAGTACCAGTCATCATGCGATGTATGATTTTGATAAAAACAATAATGAAGCCAGATAAAACCATAGGCAGAAATATAAAAAGCGATGTTTTGATGAAAATAGAGCGTCAAAACTATGCTCCTTATTGGTGGAACGAAGAGTGCTACACTCGGGTATACCAATTATCAGCACTCCGAATGACGTTAACATCAACAAAAATAGCAGTGAAAGGCCAAAAACGTGAAGTCGACCAATCCAAAATTTGCTTTAAAATAACTTTTCAAAAGTGCTAGAACCGTTTTTTCTCCTGCAGGGTGGCTTAATGACCCTTCTGCATCCAATTACGGCCTACTTAGTACAATTCTGAAAACGTTTTCATTTGTAATCAAAAGCGACTGCAATATTTTGGTCGTTTACAACATATTTGTCGCCACAGTGTTGAGTACTGAAGCAAACCTTACCCTTCATTGGTGGACCAGAACAACCAGGATAGACGCAAGAAGCTTTTTACGGCAAAAAAGTTCAAAAAATTTGATGTTTTACCAAGGCGGAGGAACAAAAAATGAACAATTTTCAAATGGAACTGCAACACTAGATAAGGATCTCCAACAGCTTTAGAAGCACCATTGTGGCACAGCACACAAGATCCCACTAGTGCCTGGTTAAGCCTCACAAAACAAATTCAAAATCAAACAATAGGGTTATAGACAATTTAATTCCGAAAAAAAACCAACTCGCTTTAGGAAGTTCAGGCGCATGATTTACAGTTTCTCTCGAAATTCCTGCATTAGAACAAGTTTCAAAAAATTTGGTGGAAAAGAATAAAAAATGCCATTATCATTGAATGTCGTGAAATGAAAAATCAAAAAGAGAAATGAAAAATCAAATAACAACTTTGAGCAGGTTGGAACAACCTGATCAGGCTGAAAAAAATCTCAACAGATCGCAATCCTTTTAAGGAATTATGAAAGCAGCGAACACTCTGGATAGAACTCAAAAACTGAAAGGCTTGCAAAAAGAAACATACATTTCCCAGGTTCAAAAAAAATTGAACGCTTACTGTTCACTCAGGCCAGTCAACAGTAAATGATATTCAGAGCAAAGCAGAAGACAAAAATGAAACCTCGATCCATCTCGCAAGATATTCGACGCAAAAAAGATGCGAAAAGCTCATAAAGAAGACCAATCTGAATCGAAATAAAAACAAAATTATTGCTTTCTCTCAGAGAAAAGCACCAGTTTGAGGTGTACAATTTTACATGGGAAAGAAAAAACAATATTTAACTCACCACCTAGTGCTCTGCTAAAATTAAAATCAACTTTGATCATGAACAACTAAATGCAAAATCTTTTTCACCTAAATCAATGGAAAAGTTTCGACATAACGTAATTTAGGTTGCTGACAAAAATGTTGCAAGCTTGCAGTAGCTGAAAAATGGATCATTGTAACACCAAAAGCAATGTTAACGTCTACAATCAGAAAATGCCAACTAGGGCTTACTATAAATTGCATACATACTGAAAAACACAATGCCAGGTAGGATGGAGCCTTAGATTTCTTAAGCTTCAATAACTAAGCCAGTAAAATTTGCCAGAAAATTTGCTTAAATTAGTTCCTGCTTACAAGACACTTGCTTTCATATGCAGATAAAATTAGAGGCCAGATTTGCTACCCTATATTGTTCCCTGGCAGCATCCCATCATAGGGTTAAGAAATTCAATTTATGTTAGTTGTTTTTAAATCTAAGTTTTTTTGAAAACGTATTGTATCATGAGAAACGCCATATCTTGGAAATAAGAAAGATTTGAGAAATTAAAGTCAGAGGCCCTGAGAGTTCCCTCTGATTTGTAACCTGGCAGTAACTTCTGACTGTACCCTGAAAGAAACTCTCCATTTGGGTTGAGAATTTCAAGGTCGGTTAGTTTTATTTATTATTTTTGAAAAAAAAAACTCAAAAAATTTGCCACGTCTCGAAAACCAAAAGGAATTCAGCCGTCATAACTCCATTAATTTTGTTTTATACCTAAGTTTTTTAGAACAAACATGAAATCAAGAAAAATAACACTAAATCACGAAAACAATTGAATTTGGGCAGTCATATTTGACACCAGATTTGCAACTCCTGAGTTTAACCTGACAGTACCCCACAAAAGGGTTGCGAATTTCAAGTTCGGTAAGGGTTGAGAATTTCAAGTTCGGTTACTTAATTTTGTAAAAGTTTTCTTTTAATTTTTTTTAAATCAGTAAAATCGCCATATCTGGGAAACCAAAAAGATTTGATCAACCATATTCAAAGGGTGGATTTGCAACGCCAAAAGGGAAACTACAGGACTCCGCCTTAGGGTTGAGAATTCGAATTTCGCTGTTTTTTTATATCAAATTTTTTCGAAAAAAAATTAAAGAAAACGCCATGTCTCGAAAACCAAAAGAATTTGAACAGTCTTACTTCAACGCTAGATTTGCAAACCCTGAGTGTACCCTGACAGCACGCCACTTTTAGAGTTGAGAATTTCAAGTTAGCTTAGTTTCTTTTATATCCACGTTCTCTAAAAAAGTGAAATCATAAAAACGCCCTATCACAAAAACAAAAATTATTTGAGCAGTCATAATTGGACGCCAGCTTTGAAACCCCTTAGTGTACTCTGGCAGTACCAAACTATAGGGTTGAGAATTTCTTGTTTGGTTAAAAATTTTACATCTAAATTTTCGGGAAAAAATTGAAAAAATCATAAAAAACGCCATATCTCGTAAACCAAAAAGATTTGAGCAGTTATACCAGGACGCTAGATATGCAACCCCTGAGTGTACCTCGACAGCACCCCACTATAAGGTTGAGAAAATAATATTTAGTTAATTTCATTGTGGAAGAAAAATGTGATAGTTTTACGTTGCGAGTATAGGAAAAAAGTAGAGTTAAAGCATTCACCCTATAACCGATTTTAAAACGTCATTTTGAGTAAACACTTCAGCCCTTGCAAAGATTTGGTCAATTGACAGACCAACATAGCGAGTTCTTAAACATGCATGTGCCAAGTGACATTTCTTAAGCATAGCAATATACGATATAGCTTAAGCGTGCAAAAAATCTTTCGTTAAACATGCAAAAATAATAAGTTCAAAAAGCTTAAATATGTCAACATACGGACTTCCTAAATATTTCAACAAAGGGACATTTAAACAAGTCCCAAAGGAAACGCCAATTAAATAATATATAGATTATCGCAATTTAATTGAGCGGATTAAGTTGAAGACTATCTACAATCTAACGTACTAAGCGAAAATCATAAGTTCAACCAGTAAACTTGTTGGATTAACCGTACAATCTCTCCTTCCCCTCGCCCACCATAGATTTTCCTCCCCACCCCAAGCAGGAACTAATTTTGAAAATAATTATAAAAATTAGTACCTGCTTGGGGAGGAAAATCTATAGTGGGCGAGGGGGAGGAGAGATTGTACGGTTAATCCAACAAGTTTACTGGTTGAACTTCTGATTTTCGCTTAGTAAATTTCACTTTCGATATATATATATATATATTTATATATAGTATGCATTTCGAACAAATGCACAAACAAAAATTGGTTTTCACAATTTTTACGTGAAATTTCATTTGAATGCTGTTAATGACCTAAATTAAGGCATTTGCGATCAATTTTCCCTTTTAACACTGCACTGTTAACTTTGTATAAATCTAGGCGATACTCTGATACTCAGAGCTATTTTCTGAACAACTCACACTTTCTCCCAGCTAAATTGATTAGGGCGGGGGGGGGGTGTGGCTGTTGATTTAATTTAGCAATTTCGTTCAACTTTGGTTGGAAAAACAGGTCTTTGGTGTCAAGAAAACACTCACTCGCTAGAATCCACTGCTCCTACGATCCAGTCGTCACCTCTTCTCGCATTGTCCACCACGCACAACTCGTCATCATCGCCCTCCGAAGACTTGGATAGAAACAATTTCCCGGGAACTCCAAATGAGTCTTCACAGTAGCCTTTGAATGTCATCGTCTCATTAAATTTGAACATTTCGAGTGGGTGTTCCATCATAGGCAAAACGGCTTCCTTGTACACTCCATGTTTCAGAAACTTGAGTCTGTTCTCCGAAATTATCTTGCATTTTCCATCTGGTAGCTTTACGAAAGCTAGATCCGAATTATGATCTACAATCACGCTGCTCGAACCGTATGTTTCTAGTTCGTAAGTTTCGCCTTTTGTCTGGTTCACTGTTAAATTCGCGCCTCGGAACGTTATTTTCGAGAATCCTGTCTCAAAATTATACAACTCATCCAGATACGAAACTTCCTTCCTGTGGTAGTCTATATATTCGGAAGACATACTGAGGTGGTCTGGCCACTTCATTTCAACTGTTTCTGAATACTCTCCTCCCAAATGCATGCCCTCACACTTCACTCCATCATGTGGCTGGAATTCTCCCGAAGTCCGAATACTTTCCGGAGAGTCGAAGTACTCCACTTTGTGAACAAAGAACTCCATAGACTGCAACTCCTCGTCAATCTCAACAGACAAATTTGCATAACGTAAGTCCTTCAACGAGGGACTGTCACCGTCCAGGAATCCTAGCTTCAATTCGATTCCCAATTTTTCCTGGCATGTAAGACAAGTGTACACCTAAAGCGAGAATTTATGACTGTAAAAGACAAAACGAGATGCTGAATATAGTTTTAGATAACAAGGCCGTATAGTTGAAACTGGGGCGGAACGTTGTACTCGGTTGTTTACTTTTTTCGTTTTTCACGCAAAATCAGGCACCACAAATAACGATCAGAATGGGTCGAATGGTATATTATATCAAAGCCCTTTCAGTCGTGATTAAAACGACGTTTAAAAAGTTTCAAAACGTTTTCTGGCTTAAGATAAGCCGCTCGGAAGTTTAAGTCTAAATTCGAGCAAAATAAAGCGAATATATTAGACTTATAATTTTCTATAAGTTTATAATAGTAGTCTTAAAATCAAGTTAGGCCGTGAAAATTAAATTTTAATCCCTTAAAACCGGCGCTACTCAACACTTGCAATACAACACTTAGCATTGTAAAATAGTAAAAAGAAAAAGAGACAGAAGCTACATAATTCTGTCGAATGATTTCGAATTTGAGGAAATTTTGCCAAAAAACCAAAAACCACCATGTTATAAGCATTTAAAATCAATAACCAAGCGGAAATTAAACCGACAATACTTGAGTAGACGCCAGTTGAGCCGAAAACCAAAAATGTCAGGGACAATTGGTAGTTTTACGGGAATAAATTTCTACACGAAGATTTTAATAGTAACATACTTTTAAACTAGTACTAAATTTGATTTTGTATAATTATGTGTTATTTTATTCGCATGGTTTCAACTTTTGCTAATTAATTTTGATTACAACACTTTGCATCAATTAAAAAGTTAAAAGATTGTTATGCCTGTGTTTCAGACAATAGAGCGTAAGTTTTCAAATTCAAAATAATATAGACTTAAAATTTTCTTTGACAACATTTTGAAACTTGAAGTCTTACACTCTTTTGTATGAAACACACAAAAGCATAACCATTCTTTTTGCATTTCATTTGACACAAAATGACGTAACCAAAACTATATAGCAAAAGCCAAACCCATTAAAGAGAAGAAACTAACAAAAAAGCAAATAAATGTAAAAATCAAAATTGGTACCCATTAAAAACCACATTTAAAAATATGGTCCCGTTTATGAGATCTGCCTGTGAACTGATCATATTGATTACTCAATTTTGAAGAAAACTTAAGGAAAAACCTATCGCAAAAATGTTTTACAAGTTTTCCTTTTGTTTACATCCACTGGAAGTAATTCAAGTACATTTCAGGTGATATGGTGGACCACACTTCTAAGCGAGTCTTCAAAAATTGCTAAATTTATAAGCTCAAAATGCATTTCAACAATTTTAAAATTGTTCAAAAAAGAAAAATACTGAAGCTTTGAAGCAAAAAAAGCTATGCTTTGAACAGTTAGCTGGCAAAAATAAATAGAAAAATCACAGTCCGAGAATTGAGCTTTTTAAAAAACATTTCCACAGAATGAGAAAAACACAAGGTCTGGCCAGACTCGAACCCTAAAACTTATGTCCCGAAGGCGTGAGCTTCACTTCTGGGCCAAGTGAGTAGGCTTGAACGATTTTGAGGTTCTAAAAAAATCAAGGTCGAAATTTTCAGCAGATCTTAAAAAACTCTCCCGCCGGGATCGAAACTAAGATCAAAGTAGTAGTAGTACTAGTAGAATAAACTACAAGAGCAAAAATTCGTGAGGTAAAATTTCGAATACTTTGGCAAAATCCAAGCATTAAACTGCGAGTTCTTGTACATCCTGTTGATCGTTCAATTCGTATAATGGGTCAAGAAAGAAAATGATTGATTTATGGCGGATCATCGTTTCTGAAATCCATGTTCATTCTCACTTTAATAGACTTTGTCAAATATGACTTTTTCAGGCATTTTTGAGCGACTGCACAACAGACTGATTGACCTGTAACAGCTATCTTTGGCTTTGATTCATTCCTTGAACACTGGGTGTTGCTTGGCTTATTTTGAAATAGTTCTGAACAATGCCTTTGTTGAGGCAGGTTCGACGGAATAAGTTGAGCGATTTGATTTGAATTTTGTGTCATGACTTCAAAATGAGATTGCCAACATTATCGTGCCCCATTGACTTATTGACCTTAAGCGGCCACATTATTTCGCTGACTTGACTTTGGTGTTCGAATTTGATTTCACGTTGCTATTCTTTGGTGACAAACACGCTGACGGAGTAGTCATTGAGCAGTTTGCATTTTTTGTTTCATTGGTTGATTCGATGCTTCCTATTTTAACCGTGAGTAGGTTTGTTGGGGTGTTACCTATGCATTTAAGATATTTGTGGATTTTACTGAAGGTTCTTCCTTCCAATAAGGTTTTTTCACATTCCGCTAAGTCAGTTCAAATGAATTTCTTTTCCAAGTTTTTAGATCTTTAACAGTCTTTCAAGATCTTGTTAAGATCTTTTTTGCATGTATTGGAGCTCATGGATTTGGTGCGGACTCAAGTTTATTAAATATCATCTTTAATATTGTTGTCGCTTTGCCATTGTTTGAACATTTCGGGATTGTCGCATAGCAGTTGAATAGGTGCATGTTGCGATAGATTTATTTCAATTATTTTATCCAGTGGTTGATTTTCATACAAGTTCGGTGAGGCGAGTGGTTCCCAAAAAGTCTGTGCAAAATTCATAGATCTAATGATCCTAGATCACAGGTGTCACTTTTGTTTGCTTATTTGCGATTTGTTATTTCATTCATCAAGCTTTGAAAGTATTCAATGGTCCATTGCTATGTACTACGAGCGGGTGGATTAAAGATACAGCATTTCATTAATCGATTATTGGAATTCCATAATGAGATGTTCAGATTTGGGAGCTTGAATGGTAAGCACTTCGAGAATGATTTGATTTTCGATGGCAATGAGTACACCAACATGTTTTGGTTTTCCATTTTCTGATATTTCTCTATTGCTTCGATGAACTTGATAGTTTTCTAGGAAAAGCCAGGCAGTTAATACATCTTCTGTGAACCAAGTTTCACGGAGACAGACAATACCATGTTCTGAAATTACTATTGCACTTGACAACTTCATGCTTCTGTTCATCTTTAGAATACTTCTGGTGTTGGCAGCTAACATTTTTATCGGTTATAGTCAACTATATCAGGCATCTTCGCCGGCATTCACTTGGTCGCTATCATTTTCATTTTCCATGGACATTTCGTTTTCTTTGAAAACTACCCATTTATCATCTTCCTGCTTTTCTATCAAAAAATTTCTCAATCTTAATTTACTGGAGTCAAAAATCTTAACGATCAGCTCTCTTCTTTGGTTCAAGCAAATTTTTCGGCGTCCTCCTTAGTTAGTTCGGCACTGATTAAAACTCGAATTTCCGTGAACTTTTTTTGATTTGACAGTTGATTACAGAATCAAGTTTCTGCTTCTACTACTCTCTGTAATGAACATCAAGGTTCGAGATTCCTTATTGGGATCGAATTTTCCAATTCGAGTGGCCTTCGTTAGCTTTCAGTCGTCGATTTGACGGAAAGCAAGTAGTCTGTCGATTTTTCCCAGATCTTCTTGCTTTCGTTCAATATCGGTTTTTTTTATGACTTTCGAGGACGCAAAGTTATATTTTTGGTACATTTGGCGAGTTGACAACTCGTCCTGGATTTATGTTTCCCAACGCAGCTCGGAAGTTGGTAGGTTTTTCTTTCAATGTTTTATATCGGTTTGAACCTGGGTGATGATACTGCTGGATTGCTCCAAATTTTCTATGAGAACCTTCATTTGTGGTTGTTGGTTGTTCATGAAGCTCGTTACTTGTAGCAGTTTTGTCTTTGTTGACGAGGTTCAATTTGATAAAGACTTTGACTTCATCGTCAGTGAACATTGTGCATTCAGGGGTTAGATGAATGTTTTCTCGCATTTTGACTTATGTTCACTTTTAGAGTTATTTTAAGTGTTTTTCGACGGACGCTGTGATATGTTTAGAGCAGGGTTGGGTTTTAAACAAGTTTTTTAAATAAAAAACGTTTAAAACGTTTTACAACGTATAAAATTCAGATTTTTAATTTCTTTGTCAGAATTATACCACAATCTTGGCAGACAAAAAACATGGAGCCAATTTGAAACTTAATTATGAAAAACTTAAATAGGCAAAACTTAGACCATGGTAAAACAAAAAAGTGATACGTCACAGGTTAAGGGCACGCAAGCAAAATGCAAGCTTAGCTACTTTTTCAGAATCTAAGCGGTTTCTCAAGTCAGAATGTACGAAGCCCATAGATGAGAAGACTCTCTCAATGCCAGCTGAGTTCCAGATCTTCACTGTTCTTCGAGTGAAATTTAAGGCAGCCACGGCTACCTCGTAAAAATATAATTACCTGAAACTATAATAATAATAATCATTATAATAATGAAGTGAATTCTTGCAAAGCAAAGGGATTGTAAGTCCCATATAGTCCGGTTAAATTCCCTTAGACAATTTCTGGTTCGACAAGGTTCACATAAACATAAGAATATCCAAGAGCAAGTGTTAGAAGGATTGTAAAACTTTGAAAAGAACTTCCACATTCAATTGAGAAAACGTCCTTTGAGCCCGCCGTTATTTCTGAAGTCGACTCGTTTCTACACTAAATTTGCCCTAAAACAAGCTTTATACCAAAAATTTCCTCATTGGATTTCCCGTTTGATTTTCGGTTAACTGAAGGGGTCGGAACGTGAATTTGGATCAAAAGTACAAAAGGATTCCCACTCAATGTCATACTACCCATTAATCATTATCGACAAAAATAACAGCTCTGTCAGCACCTGGAAATAAGTCACGGCAGAACACCAAGTTTGATCAGAGCGTCTTTATAATTTATTGAATATTAAATGGCAGGCGCAATGGTTGACTTAGTTATTCAGCTTACTTTGGACACATAAATGAGACGAGCAATTCCGTTTGAAAAGATAAAAACAACTTTGAACCTGAAGCAATTTTTGAATGTAAGTGACAGGTCCATTTTAAATCATTCGACACGAGCAGACCGAGATCTTTAACCGAAGTCACATTTTCTAAGACATTATTATCGAGATCAACGATAATAATCAAGTTTCTATACCAACGTGCCCGTGGTGGAAGCGATTCTCCTTGCAGCAGACAAGTTGAATGCAAGTAAAAAGCAGCCTCCCATTGATAAGGACATTTTTATTCGCCTTTTGAGTTTAGCAGTTACCAACGTGCATTTCATGGCTAACGGTCGATGGTACAAACAATGCAACGGTGTTGCCATGGGATCAACAATAGAGGTTATTTTAGCTAACTTGTGGCTCAGTCAATATGAGGGAGTCCTTTCCGGTGCAGACATCACTCTGTCGGTAAGCAATGTACGTTCAAGCTCGGATACAAGTGTTTGCATGCGCTGCCAAAACAAGATTACCAAACGAGGCTACTCGATCAGATGTAATGTATGTCTCATCTGGTGCCATCGCAAATGCACGGACCTAAAAGTTGATGACATCAGGAAATACAGCCGCAACAAAACACCCTGGTATTGTGGTTGTCATTCCAACAGCGCTCAAGTGCAAGTATGCATCCCGAAAGCAAAAGTTTTTGGCAGGTATGTCGACGACATTATTAGAACAGCGAGAGTGACTGACATTGATGACATCATGTCACAGGCTAATAAACTACACCCGTGCCTCAGGTTCACTTCCGAAAGAGAAGTGGACAATAAAATACCGTTTCTTGACATGATGGTGGAACGTTAAGCTGGGAAACTCAGCACTGCCTGGTATAGTAAGCCCACGGATACAGGTCTCATGTTGTCTTTCCGGGCATGTGCCCCGAAACTGTACAAGCGAAATATCATAGAAAGTACAGTCTGTCGCATCAAAAACACCACGTCGAGTTGGAACAAATTCCACGATGCACTTGTTTCAGCAAATGCATGTTCGAGAAGAACCAGTACCCACCGCCATATTACGATCCCATAGTCGAGAACGCAATCAGTATAATGTTTACTCAAAATAAACAACGGGCTACCGACGCGAAACTGAAAGAAAGGAAGTCACGTCCCACCCTGCTGATGGAATATAGAGGACACATTTCCGTTCGTTTCAGTAGAAGTATCAGGAAGATCACAGAAGCCTGCGTTCTGTTTACCACACGGAAAATGAAAACGGTCTTACCTTCCCTGAAAGCAAGATACCGGATGACCTGAAAAGCCGAGTCATTTACGAAATAACCTGTTCGGGATGCAAGTCCAGCTATGTCGGTCAGACGACACGACATTTGATGACCCGACTAGCACAACATACCCGTATCAGCTCACCCGTGGGAAGTCACCTCGAAGACTGCATCGGAGACGCTTCAGAAATTTGCTCCAAGATTCTCAATCAGACTGAAGATCCAGGACGACTACTAACGCTTGAGGCCCTGTATATCGCAAGGAGACAACCGACACTGAACCAACGCGAAGAATAGAGGCAGCGGCAGCTCACCCTTTTCTTATATCGGCGAGATTTGTATTGACCCATATACTAGTGCAGTTGTTTTGGTTTTTTTGTGAACTGGTTTGCAATTATGACGACCATTTCAGATGATAGTTGCTCTGATGATGCACACAATGTGCAAAAGCGCTCAGATATAAACATTGATTGGATGCTTTGTTTTTCATTCTGAATGTCAAAGACAAGTAAATCAAATTTATATCCTGAAAATATAAGTTTCAAGTCGTCGGCAAATAGATAACATGAAGCATGGAAGATGTTGTTTGGCAGGTCATTTATAAAAATCAAGAATAGCAAAGGACCCATTACAGAACCTTGAGGCACGTCTGATTCAACTGGGCGCACACTGGAAACCGAGTTTTTCACTCTTACTACTTGCTTACGATCAGACAGGTAGTTTTCCAGGAGTAATTAGAATTTCATAGAAACTCCTAAGGTCTCGATCGTCTTTAGTAGGACGAAATGATTGATTTTATCAAATGCCTCAGCAAAATAAAAAAATAGCATAGTGCAGAAAGAATTGATATCGTATTTGTAAACCTGACCAAGACATGATAATAATTGTAGTACAGTTAGATTGTCTGGGCATGAAACCAAACTGATTTGAATAACAAATATCATGGAAAATTGGAAACAATTAGTTAAACATCAGCTTCTCGAAAGCTTTAGATAACACGTTCAAAAGGGTAACAGGTCAATAATTAGTGATTTCACATTTGCTTCCATCTTTGTGAATAGACTATTTAATACTTATGTTCCGAAGTCGCGTGTTTCACCTCTAAGCCAAGTGTGAAGCGCCTTGAAAGGTGACGAGGTTCAATAATTACCCAATACATAGATTCCCAAACAAAACCTATCGCCTGTAAGAAAAATTGATTACGTAGAAAAAGTAGCTCCCGATTACAAGTGACTTGGTATTGCACGTGAAAAAAAAACTTCTAAAATTTTTTCATTTCTTCTCTTACATATTCTGTGAGGAAATTGTTGTCAATTGTACCTAATATACAATTGGAATCGAAGTTCTGACTTTCATCCTCTCATCACACCACGGTCAAAAATGTTGCAATCTGAAATTACTTCTAAAACTTTGGTCGAACTCTCTGTGCCACTTGCACAGCAACCGGCTATCCTTGTTACTTGCTGTCATTGTCGGGTGTTAGCCTTTTAAGCACTGAGTGACAAAAAATCGCGCCACAGAGAAATGGCCAAAAAATTGGCGTATGTGTCAAATTTCCGAAGGGCTAAGAGGTGTACGCAACATGTATTGTTCAGTTTGTCACATAACAGATTTCTTAATCACACTTTTGATCCACTTTCTTAAATCACACATGCCCATCATAACGATTCAAGTATTGATCCAAGTGTGGCTTTAAATAGGTACATAACTGCTCACCTTGTATTTACTAGATCCCATCTCCAGCAACTCAGTGTCAGGTAAAAAGGTGGAAGAATTAAAGCCGGAGATATAAAACAATGCGGTCAAGGAAAACATGTGTTTGGGTCCCGGCAAGAACACAGAGGGATATAATTTGTAGAATTCCTTGTAAGTTAGATCAGTTATATCAACTTTCTTGGAGTAATTGCAATAGGAGGTGAACAAAGGCCTGACTTCTATACGAGGCGTAAGTTGTTTGAAGTTGAATCTATCCCATCCGATTCCAACTGAGAACCTTTTACTCTTAAATCCAACAGCAGAATGCACACTACCTCCAAAGATGTCGCTCATCAGTATTCGATGGAAACTTTTACTTTCACGGGAAAAGTCGAGCAGTATATCAGTATTAGTTCCAGAGTCGTTTTTCCAAGCATAATCAAACAAGCTCACGCTTGCAGTAGCGAGAGCTCCTGATCCAAAGGCCACTTTAGAAGATAGTCCAAGGCCTTTTCCTTTTTCAATCAGTTTCTGTATTTCAGAACGAAACGTAGAGTAATCGCAATTAACAAACAGCACAAAGCCGTAAAATAGAAGGATCACAGCTGCCCTCATCTTTCTGAAATCAAAAACAAGTATATTTTAAAGGAAAAACTTTGACCGGTTATTCACATGGAGATGGCGCGCGTCACTTTCATCGAACCGTTGATTACCAGAACACAAGAGCGAAGAGAAGCATAACCACATAACATACTATTTCAGGATATCAGAAAAAAGAAACGAAAGCGACAAACATAAAAAAACGGTAAAATATGTCGACAAAACCACATTTTTGAAAAATTCATAATTTTGTCCGGAATGATACTTAATTTGGGGAAAACACATTTGCGGCTTGTGATTCATCTCAGCAAACATTTCAGCATTTACTTTTTGAGTGCCCTTCTCTTCTCTAGGAAAATTCTTAACATACAAGACTGGAAATCTTTTGTATCTTTTAAACTAACTGTTGTAATGAACTTATTAAATAGTTTCATGTGATATGATCATAATGGTACGCTTGTAAGGAGAACGCCCGAAACGGAGATGCTAGAGTCCGAACACCATTTGGTGACGACGTTAAGCGTGGAGTCATGGCCTGGAGTGTTGCAGATGGTTCATAAGCGTGTGCCAGTCGGTCATATTTGGAAGTTTGACCTTGAGAAGAGCAGAAAACACTTGATTTTGGAGTGAAATTTAATTTTTCAAAATTTCGAATGGAACATGTCATGCACGATTTTCTCGCGATAACTGAAAATCAGAAAAAGAAAAGAGAACAATTTCAGAACAATTGCGGGAAAGTTGTCAGATAAAAACGAGTGTGAAATTGCAATTCGCAATTTCCATCATAGTGAACAAGAGTAGAGCTGTCCTATCTGAAATAGAAGACAGAGTGTTCCCGAGAGAACAATTATTCGAACTGGACCAGAGTGAACCTTCGACGGAAAGGTGGACAGCTTGAGTGTCCCAATGGTCCACATAAAACTGCAGTCTAGAGTAAAAACTTGTTCTTGTTGTTAAAACTGACTGACATTAAACTTATCTTAGTTACTTTATTGATTCTTGAGTTGTTTACCGACTTATTTACTTCCTGGTTCTTGAGCGTGCTACAATGTGAGTACTTAATTTAATTTCTAGAGTGTGTTTTATGATTGTTATGTTGAGGTAAGGCGAGTTTTAGGTTGATCCATCTGAAATGGATCAAAGTTCCACTGTCTAATAAAAAAGCAACTTAACGGATTGTTCCAACCCGGTTTTTAACGGCGTTCATGTATTTTGGGTATCTAGAGACCTAAGTATGGGGACGTTTCTAATTCTAGAGTGGGGGGATATTTTAGTAGTAGCCTTTAAGCTGTAACGGGTCGTAGTCTCATGTCACAAGCGAACCGAATTGGCTCCGACTGATTTGAGGCGGAAAAACACAAGAGATAGTGTCCCTGACTCCTGAGCCAATAGTTATAGGGCCTATTTTTCTTAAGCCTCATGTGTGACTGCAGTAGACGAATGTTACATAGTGTTTTTATGGCGCTCCTGGGTGTTTACGACATCAAGACTACGGAGTCGAACCCACTTGAGACAGCTTCGGGCTGAATGCCCATTCTAGAGTACCGGCGGTACGGTTCGACAGGAACGTGCAAACCTTCCGGTTGTACCGTGATAGCTTTTTAAGAAAACTCGAGAAAATTTCCTGGTACGCTCTCCGAACGAGGCTTAGCTAACCGAGTAAAGGGGGGCAACTAGGGGGACAAAAACACGAGCAAAAAGACAAAAAGCAAAACAAAAACCAAAAAAGAATAGAAAAAGGAACAAAAACCATAAAACGAAAAAAGACAGTGACTTTGACACCAGATTAGTTGGATCAAACCTTTATATTAATTAAATAGTATACCCATACTGTTTTACAAGTTCGATCGTTTCGATCAACCTAGCAATTTAAACCAGTAAACTGAATAAAGTGCCCGAAGTGGGGCGTTGTCAAGGGTTTTCAGATAGCTTGGAACTTAGCTGGACCAATAGGAGACTTGACTGGAAGAGGTGACCAGCCGAGTGGGAAAGTGGTTCAGGGACACTTGAGCTGAACCAATAGGAGACTTGACTGGAAGAGGTGACCAGCCGAGTGGGAAAGTGGTTCAGGGACACTTGGCTGAACCAATAGGAGACTGGACTGGAACAGGTGACCAGTCGAGTGGGAAAGCAGCCAAGAAGGATTTGGCAATTCTCGAGTTCTCAAGTTGGGCAGAACGGGTATCGTTAGAATCCACATTACATTATAGGAGATAAGTGTAAAATTGGATAAGCGAAATCCCCCAGTTTTGAGGAACGTTTTTACTTGAGCAGGCCTGGAAACAGGTCTACGGTTTTCTCTTGAGAGGTTTAGCACCCGGCGCTTAAAGTAATTTTTAGGCTTAAGAAGGGGGGCTAGAAAGGGGGGAGGTTAGAAGGGGGACTGGTTAGGCTAGAGGTTGGCGGTTGTAAATTGCAAAAAGGGGGAAATTAGAGTAACTAATTAGTCGACATCGTTGACTTAGTTACATTAGAAATTAACACGCGTTGGTAATATTAGGTGGAGATCCAAAATCCAACTCGAGTTAAGGCTGGTACGCTGGTTGGTTTGGTAGGGGGGACCGGATATAGACAGCTTTTGTGATACCCCATAAGATCACTAGTGGGGGGAGGAAAACGCGTGGCAATTAGGTACCAGACATTTTTTTTAGACGAAAGGTAGACATTGGTCACCTTTAAATTTTAGGTGGGCTCATTTTTCTGTTTTTATTATTTTTCTTACTTAAAATTTTTGTTGCATTTTATTGAGGATTTGTGTTTGGTTTTATACGAACAGGTGATCACAAGATACCTGCGCACCTACATTGAAATAGAAACAACCAAAAAGAAGAGGGGGGTCAGCATTTGGCTTTTAAGAGAGTGCTTTTGGGAAAATTTTACTAGAGCTTGAGTGGTGGTACAAGGTACGGTGGTTCAAGAAGACCCTACAACGAGGAAGACACTCCGTGACGAGTATTGGGACAAGACCGAAGAAGTCTTGGGACAGAGCAGTCTTGGGATAGTGGTCTTGGGACAGGGTCTTGGGACAGTGGTCTTGGGACAGGGTCTTGGGACAGTGGTCTTGGGACAGGGTCTTGGGACAGTGGTCTTGGGACAGTGGTCTTGGGACAGGGTCTTGGGACAGGGTCTTGGGACAGTGGTCTTGGGACAGGGTCTTGGGACAGTGGTCTTGGGACAGTGGTCTTGGGACAGGGTCTTGGGACAGGGTCTTGGGACAGGGTCTTGGGACAGTGGTCTTGGGACAGGGTCTTGGGACAGTGGTCTTGGGACAGTGGTCTTGGGACAGGGTCTTGGGACAGGGTCTTGGGACAGGGTCTTGGGACAGGGTCTTGCGACAGTGGTCTTGGGACAGGGTCTTGGGACAGGGGTCTTGGGACAGTGGTCTTGGGACAGGGTCTTGGGACAGTGGTCTTGGGACAGTCTTGGGACAGTGGTCTTGGGACACTAGTCTTGGGACACTAGTCTTGGGACACCAGCCTTGGGACACTGGTCTTGGGACACTACCCTTGGGACACTAGTCTTGGGACACTAGTCTTGGGACACCAGCCTTGGGACACTGGTCTTGGGACACTACCCTTGGGACACTAGTCTTGGGACAGTAGTCTTGGGACACTAGCCTTGGGACACTAGTCTTGGGACAGTAGTCTTGGGACACTGGTCTTGGGACACTACCCTTGGGACAGTAGTCTTGGGACACTAGCCTTGGGACACTAGCCTTGGGACAGTAGTCTTGGGACACTAGCCTTGGGACACTGGTCTTGGGACAGTAGTCTTGGGACACTAGTCTTGGGACAGTAGTCTTGGAACAGTGGTCTTGGTACAAGGGTCTTAGGACACTAACGGAGAGTACTGTGATAGTGACGAATAGTCTTGGGACGGTATAGAAATTGAAGTCAAATTACAACAAGTGCGTTTTAAGACAGAATAAGACAAATCGAAATAGGTAGGGTTAAGACCAAATTAAGGAAAATTTTTCGGAGGTTTTAGAAAGAGAATTGGATAAGGTTTTTAACACGTTGTACAGAATTTGTTACCACAAAAAATATTTTTTTTACCCTTAGAATAGAATCGTGTATATAATAAAATTGTAAATAGAAGCAGTTGTAAATAGAAATAATGAGGCGGAGTAGGGTACCGGTGCTCGAAAAAAGGTCAAGTGGATCAAACACGAAATATAATTCATCGCTGCGCGGAACGACATCAACGGGCCCAAAGATAACGAAGACGAACTTTTCAGTTAACATGGTCAGCACAAGGAGTACAGCGGAGAACAGGGCGAAAGAGGGCACGGAAGGGGAGCGAGTAGAACCCACCATCGAGATTGATCTAGAGACACCCGATCAAAGTGTGGATGAAACAAGGAAGATGGCGACAGAGTCAACTCCAATGCCCAATGCAGAGGAACCGAACCAGAAACCCATAGAGTTCTCACCGATAGATGACGCGGAAGATGCAATAGGCAACACCGAAGAAACGGTGAAAGAAGACTCTCAAGTAAAGAGGACATCTTTTACGGAAAAATTGGGAATAATGTTCGGAATAAAAACAAAAGAAAACGTGACTGAAGAACCAAAAGCAGAAAGAGCACGAACGTTTGGGACAGTGAGCACGAAGACCTCAGAAGCCAATCCAAGAGAGGAACAAGCTAAAGCAGAGGCTACGGCCGAAGAGAGACCGACAGCTGACCATGAAGAGACTAACATTGAGCTGGGTGACTTGTTGGCGAAATTAAATCAGATTGACAAAAGACTTAAGCACAGTGAAGAAGACAGAGAGGTGATAAAAAAGGAGATAAGATACAACAAGCACGAGTATCTAGACAGTTATTTTAACCTAGCTAAGGCAACAGATGAGAGACTCAAGGAAATGTCAGATAAGGTAGAAGCCACCAATGAAGAACGAGAAAAGAACATCAAAACAGACATGCAACAGTTGAAGAACCGATATGATGATGTCAACAGCCAATTAGGGAGCCTGGAAAGGAGAATGGACACAATGAGCAGGAGTCAAGCCGAGAGTTCGTGTGAAATACAGGCAAAGTTGGATGCAATCTTGAGAGGTTCTACTCCACAAGAAAGACCGGCAGCGGATCGTACGCAAGGCACCAGAGTTGACTTTGCAGAACCACAAAGGAACAAACGACAATCGACACCGTTGCCCTTAACCAGGGGTGCGATAAGCATAGCACCAACAGCTGCGAAAACAATAATGAAGAATGGAACGTCGAATACAACGACTGCTCCGGGAGATTCAACAGCTAACAGCAACACAGGACCGGATGCTATGACATGGGCCAGCACTTGGGAGATGATGAACAGGACTCTAGAGGCCTTCGCCACGAGGAACACTGACTCGAGCGACAGGAGAGAGGGAAAATCAAGAAAGACATTCAAGAAGCCAAAAGAATTCAAGGACGACTCCGATGG